CGTATACTTAAGCTTATAAATTTTTGCCTCCAATACAATGAAGTCCGCTGCTTTGGCATTTTCCTTAACAGTGAACATTTTTATCAAATTTGTGTCAGAAAATGTCCATATTGTTGAACCTAATGAATAATTACAAAGATACAGGTCTGTAACACTTGTATGGTTGTATCCTTTTCTTTTCGCTAAAAGACATCTTGTGAAGTTTTTTTTTTTGAAGTGGAGACATCTTGTGAAGTAGAGTTGCCGAAGTTCCTCTAACTCCTCAGCCAGATATTCCCCTTGCCCCTGCTAGTTCCCAACAACAGAATCGATAGGTGTTACCATGGCGGTACGGCGGTACCTAACGACCTTCATTTAGGGCCTGTTCGGCAATAGCCTAGCTCCTCCAAATCTTTAAATCCGCGCTCCGCTCGCTGGCTCGTGCTCTGATTGAGCTTTCCCGATCAATGAAACGTGTTCGGCAACCGAACTCTGGCTTCCATAACTAATTGGGCCTTTCGTGTAGAAAAGCTGGCCCAAGAAAGATTATGGAGCGGAAGACGTACAAGCGGGAGAGAGACATATCACACGAACCGGTATGTGTTTCACTTATCGGTGGCAGGTCGTTGTAAATTCCACAAACTCCTTCATTTCCCGGATCTACGGAGCTCCGTTTTACCTGCTCCAGAAAATTGAACCGCAGCCAGCTCCGCTCCGCGCTTCAGACTCTGCGGAGCTAGAGCGTTTGGCGCCGCTCCGCCTGCTCCACGAGAGGAGTTGTGGAGCAGAGAGGATCCGAACAGGCCCTTAATCGGGAAACACCAGTAGTAGAACCAGAAACTCAAGATGGAGGATTGGAGGGTGGCCCAAAACTCTCTCATATATGGAGAATTAGGAAGCAAATAGACATGCATTTTGGAGGACAACTGATGGATTGCAATCCCATGTAAAAATTCGTGTTCAAGGAATTTCACATGGTAATATTTTCTTCTACAAATTTTAAAGGAAACCAAACATGACCTCTAACCTCATGGGAGAATTCTTTTCAAAGTTTCAATGTATCTTGCGTCTTCCACTCTCCCTTCTCTCTTTGATCAGGCAACACATGAAATTACTGGTACCCCCTCTGTAAAGAGATATAACAGCGTCTACAAATTACTCTCCCTTCTCTCTTAGATCACTCTCACTAAGTGATCTAAACGCTCTTATATTTCTTTACAAAGGGGGTACATTTTTATCCGTAGCATCCAAAGGATTATCCTCAACAAATCATCCGTTTTTCTTGTATTTGAGATACCATGACATTTTGGTCATGTGTTGTTACTATTTCTATGTTCTGATAATCACCCTTAGTTTCTGTGAAGTTGTAAATCCCTTGTTGTTTTTGTGAACACAACTCAACACAAAGATATGAGAAATGTTAAAATAAAATTGAATCTGCGAAGCTTTTTCCAAGTATTTGTTACCACCTAGTACTGGAAGAATATGATGTGGGATCAGGGATGATCGCTATATAGGAGATCAGAAATTATCGCTAACTAATGTGACAAAGTAAAAATATGAGTTACCAAAGCAGCAATAGAAGAACCAACATTTCAGCCGCACCAGCCAAGCAGCCAAGATGAGCAACCGATGTGTTTACTTCCTCTTAAACAACAGGGGGGGAAAAGGACCCTACGAAGTTAGGACCAAATAATTATAGGAAAAAAAATTATTTAAGAGGGCGGATCAACAGAACAACAATGTATAAAACCTGTGCTATAAAAAGTGAACGAAAAATAAAAGCCAGCCAATCACTTGAGCAACAACCGTGAGGTGTGGAACAGTACCGCAGTTCTGTAATCAGGCAAAATGTCACAATCTGTACATCTCTAAGTAAACATATTTCTATAATTAATTAATAGTAACAAAAAAATTAAGTTACAGAGTTACAAGTCATAGAGGACCTTGTATTCAACGGAAGAGCCGAGTTCAGTAAGTTGTGGGCATGAACTGATGGTGGTAGAAATTGAAGGCTGTGTGTATGTTCCTCTTAGAAGGCCAATTGCGATGCCCTTATATGCAGCTTCTGAGGGATGGAAACCATCCCATGATCCATACTTTTGTGGATCATCACACACCTTGTATTCTCCATATCCACATCTTGCAGTCATGGACACACCATAGGGTCCTCCTCCACCGCAGCATGCTGCTAAAGGATGATCGATCCCTGAGTAATAGATGTGTTAATGTTTAGCATGGTATCAACTAGGAAAACATGTTCTTGTCGATGAATATATGTGTTCTTGGAGCACTAAAGCATAGTTAGTTTATCTAGTGAAAGTAGCATCCAGGAAGTGTTTCGATGGCATCGTCTCATAAGCGCTTGGCAGATTTGGAGAGACCGAAACGCCAGAATCTTTGAGGATGTTAGCGACACAACATTCAAGATCAAAGAAATGGTGAGGTTGAAAGAGTTAGCTTTTTCCAGGGTTGTACAGGATGATGGGGGTTAGCTTCCTTGATCATTTTCTTCCTTTTATCTAGGCAAAGCCTCGTACATGAGGGTTTGGCCTGATCTAAGTTCCTTTTTTCTACTCTTCTAATGGAATTGACAGTGCTCCTGTAGATTTTCCAAAAAAATAAAGTAGCTGTCGTCTCAAATCTGAAGCTCAATCAAAGTGATGTCATGTTTAATACTACCTCCGATCCATAATAAGTGTCGCAGTTTTGAACTAATTTTGAACTAACCCTAGTTCGAAACTGCGACACTTATTTTGGATCGGAGGGAGTACATATCAATCATGTATTTAGGCTATAGTAGCTACAGGGACACTGAATAAACATACAGAAGGAAATTATTAAGAGTAAATAATGGTACTCTATCTGATATCACCTTATGTTACCAAAACAAAACCAAGTTGTGCTTGATGTTACAATAATGGCACTTCTGAAAGCTTCTGCTATGTTTACTCAATAGTGATTTGATTGTGTTACTAGTAAGATTATTTCATAAGAAACCCAATTAAACACACTTCTATTATGTACTAAATCAAAGACACTTATTTTGGGACGGAGAGAGTAGTTGGCTATTTGCATTGTCATTTCTGGAGATACTGCCTACTGCTATCAAAAGAAAATGATGTTGGGCTCATGTGATTTAGAAAGCAATATGTTACTAGTATAAATGTCAACCTTGCTGATTTGAACCTATGTTTGCTAGCTACTTGGGTTTAAAGATACCATATGGATAATGGTTCTTGAATACATATGGATAATGGTAAAATCTGGAAACAGATTGTAGATTCTAAATACAGGACCCAAAGTCCCAACATCTTTGCTAGTTCTTCTATTGGTGTGTCACCCTTTTGGAAAGGGATTTTGTGGGATGCCAAAGCCACTAAATTTGGATACTCCTGGAAGCTTGGCAATGGTTTGAGGACTAGATTATGGGAAGATCAGTGGATAGGTTCCTCTACCTTAGCTACTCAATTTTGGGGCCTTTATGTTATTGCTAATGATCACAATGTTTCTATTAGCAAAGTCTGGGATGGCTTACACTTGAAGAACACTTTTAGAAGATATTTTTCTCCAGATATGATTAAGGCTTGGAATGATCTTCTCAATATTGTGAAAGATCTAAAGCTTAATGACAGTGAAGATTCCATTGTCTGGAATTATGACTCGAAGGGCATTTATACTGTCAAATCCCTTTACAGTATCATTAATTTTAGGGGGGTTCTTCCTACTGATATTCCTTTAACTTGGAAGATTAAAATTCCCCCCAGAGTTCAGATTTTTCTCTGCCTGATAGCTAAACTAAAGTCCTGACCAGGGATAACCTACAGAAAAGACAGAACATCCCTGATGCTTCTTGCCTATTTTGTACTGAATCTGAAAACTGTCATCATCTATTTTTTGACTCTGCTGTTTCGATTGAATTCTGGAGAGTGCTTTCAGATATCACTGGGTATGCCAATTATCTAGATTTGGTATCACTCATGAACTGGTGGTCTGTAAATAACACTAAAACTGCTGATATTATACCTCATGCAGCAGCTCTTTGGGCCCTCTGGAAATATCGAAATGACATGTGTTTCAACCGTGTGTTGTGGTCTGGCATGCAGGCTATTTGGAGCAAAACTGCGTCCACCTTGTCTGCCTGGGAGGTTCTGTGCTCAGGCCCTGCCAGGGAGAGAGTGGTGACTCTGGTGAAGAAGCTGGAAAAGCTAGCGAGAGACCCTCCGCTGCTGCTGTGGCCAGATCCCGGCTAGCACTGTCTCGCTGTGCGCATTGGTGCTACTTTCCTCTGAAGCTGGGAAATCTGCATGAGCTTCTGGGTCTTCTGCGGCAGATGGCTACTCCAAATCCCCACCGGCGCTCGTGTGTGAGTTGGGGGAGAGTTTGGTCAGAGCTGTAGTTCTTGTATTGGTCAGAATTGCTTGTTTTCGGAACTGTTTAAATTTGGTCCTTTCCCTATTTGCTGAGGCAGCGTGTTTGAAGTTTTCCTCTGTGGGCTGTATTTCACTAAACCTTGTGTACCGGATATATTGGTTTCATTGTCAATACAATGGAGCCGGGGCGGTGAGCCCTTTTCATCTAAAAAAAACTAGTATAAATGTCTATTTCTTGTATTTCCCTCCGATCCATATTAATTGTCGCTGATTTGGTACAACTATGGATCGGAGAGATTACAAGTTAATTTATAAACTACAAAGTAGAAGGGACTCACCAAATTGTTCAGGGGAACGGTAGATCTCCATAGCAGCTCCATAGTAATCGGCATAGATTATTGACACGCCACGATGAAACTTACGCAACTTTTCCAACTCATCAATGAGAAGTCTGTTGTGGTACTTCGAGAATTCGTTCATCCACCGTAGGCAACCAGTCTCTGGCTCATAATCTTCCTTCTTGTCACTCTTGAATATCATCAGGTAGTTTGGAACGCACCCAATGGGGAGGTTACCAGGAACTACCAATGTTTTGGCTCCCAGACCAATCAACTCCTGTAAATGAACTCATGTGCATTACTAACTATGTACTCCTTTACAATTTCTTGAGTTGCGATTCAAGTAGTAACAGTGGCGACAACAATTGTATCAGCAGTAAATGACTCACAGTGACTGTAGAAGAAATTTTGGCAACAACACTCGGAGTGAACGTGCGAATCTTCTCAAAGGGAACCCTAGAGAGAAGAGGTATGTTATAATCATTGCCCCCAATTTCTCCAACCAAGAAGAGAGATTGATTCATCATGCCCGTGCAATCTGTTTAAGAAACAGTGTTGTTAGCCATATGTAACAATGGCATCTTAGTTTAAAAACTATCAAGAAAGTATTGACTTATGCGCTCTACAGTAGTTGAACATCCACGGGCTCACATTAAATTTACAGATAGTCATATCTGGTAGAGCTGTAAAATAATCCCCAAAGGAAAGCTGCTACTACAAGTTTTGCTATTATTTATTTGCAGTCCCATCATAATGCAGAATTACAAATAATGTTTCCCCTTGCAGAGTATTTGATTTCTGAAATTAATGTATCATATCTGTTCCAGTGACTTAATAATCATCTCGTGTAAATCTCTTAATGGGGACCAAATATACCCCTCCAATCCATATTACTAACGTCACTGATTTAGTACAACTTTCTCTTCGATCCATATTAATGTCGCTGATTTAGTACAACTTTCCCTCCAATCCATATTAATTGTCGCTGATTTGATAGTAGTACAACTTTCCCTCTGATCCATATTAATTGTCGCTGATTTAGTATAAAAATTGCACTAAATCAGTGACGTTAATATCATAATATGGATCGGAGGGAGTATAATTTCCATTTCAGTTTTTACATATGTGATGGTGGTTTGTAGTGAAACTCAAGCAGTACAAATTTCAACATCTTCTGCAACAAATATTACTACTCCCAGCAGCAGCCTCACACCGGTGCCAGTAGAATTTTTCTCTCCCTAATACTAGCGAAAAAATCCAGGTCAAAAGAATTGTGTGGGCAAGGAGAAAGAGAAGGAAGTAAATTTGGGATTACCAGCCCGGTCGGCGGGGCAGAGCAGATCGAGCAGGTCGTGGAACCATTTCATCTCGACGTCGAGGTGCATGCGGTCGCCCATGGGCACCCCTCTCCCCCGGAAGAAGTCCGGGCCCAGCGCCATGGCGCCGCCGACCGCGAAGTTGGCCCCGGACGCGAAGTCCTCCGCGGTTCGCCCGCTCAGGTACGGCCGCACGAACGGCAGCCCCATGGTGTCCGCTGCGGCACGCCCGCCCACGCGAGTTTCATCAGAATTCAAATTAAAATTAGTATACTGCGCGTGCGCGGCTGGCCGGCCGAGCGATCGATGGAGGCGAGGCGGTGTGGTGGTGCGCGGCTTACCGATGAAGTCGACGATGAGGCGTCCGTCGGAGAAGCGGCCGGTGGCGCGGCGGAAGAATGTCTCCCCGTAGGGCGTCCTGAGCGCGGGCTCGCGGGAGTCGTTGCCGTAGAGGAATGGGAAGTTGCCCGTGTCCGCCAGCGAGTCCCCGAAGCTGAACACCCGCGGAACGCACGGCGCCCCCCGCGCGTGTACCACCGCCACCGCTAGCAGCACCGCGGCCGGCAAGAGGAAGCCTCCTCCTCTCCCGGAGACGGAGACGGAGGCAGAGGAAGCCATGGCCATGCCAGTTTCTGTTCGAAGAGGCGTGCAAGGGTGCGACTTTCTGCCTTTTATAAACTTCGGGACTGCCGTCGCCAGAGTCCAGACAAATGGCCAAGGAGCCCGAGATAGCATACGGGGCCAACAAGTCAGCGGCCACTTGTCGCCTTCCCAGTTTGTACGCGTACTCTCTGATCCTTCCTTGAAACAAGATCATACTGCACTTTCTTTTCTCTTGCGTGTACACCAGATCCTAGGTACAGCACGGGCACGGGCCTCGGATCCGGAAACGTAGCGTGATCGTACGAAAATATGTATTCTGGAGCAATATTGTTCCGTATATTGAGGGCTTTGGGTGAAGAGGCTATGATTGAAATCAATGAGGTGGACTCGGCTCCACGATTAGCGACGGGGCAGGAGGACCGTCGAGCAGCATTCCCTAATTTTAGGTTGTGCAATGTTCCTGACCTCTCCAGTTGATGCTGCACTATCAACTCTCCCTGGCGCTAAGCGATGTATACCTGTCATACTGGAAGCTAGAAAATCGTATGTCAGGTGCATCTGCACATTGGAAAAAGAAAATCATAAGTTGTCAAATAGTATCTGACAGTTCTGCATGCGCATTGTTGGCTAAATGTGAAGCAGCAAATTTGTATACCCAAAAAGAAAAAACCATGTCAATTGTTTGCCATAATTTCAGTACAGTTGACTGTCATCGTCGTCAACATCCTGATAGATAACTATTGCAAAATGATGCAAGGTGATTGACAAATGCAACACAAATAATCCTATCCATGGGCCGACATGAAAATCTCTTCACACAGAAGGAAAAAAGGCGATTGAAACAGAAATACTTTGCTTCCATTGAGTGGCGAATCAAATACCCACAATTGATTAACAGTACTAGAGCATAAAGGTATCATGACCACTTACAGAACGATGCAGCATCAAATGACTGACAAGAGATTATCTTGGCAAGTAAAAAATCCTGGAACTAACTGAAAGCACAACAAAAATCATCAATATTCAACAGACTTGCAAGCAGACCGGTTGAACAACAAGTGACTTTCCACGCATCAGCAATTGTTCATTATCAGTTCAAAGCTCGACACAAAACTAGCTTCCTCTCGTACAAGTTATGTTATGTGTGGCATTACGCCGCCGGAAATTTTATTGCAAAGCTCAAATCTTCAATGCCCACATGATGGGCAGAAAAAGCACTGGACCAAACCAACAGACCCCTCAACAAGACCTGGGTTTGCTATAATCTGCAAAATGGCCTAACTAACTTGCATTTGTGAACGCGACACCCTTCTCAATTGAAGATTTGAGCTCGCCCTTGAGAGCTTCCAACCCATCCTTCTCAAACTGCGTCAGCTGACCCAACCCGAGCACTTCCTCGACTCCATTCTTTCCAAGCCTCACCTGTGTTACATCAGTGGATCATGAAATTCCATTCTATGACCAGCGTCAACAGTTTGTAAAGTGAACAAACAACAGCAAGACCACACGGCGAACAAGTCCATCACATTGCCTTAGGCAATAAGCATCACACAAAGGAGAGATAGGTTCACTTGAACATAATTCAGCGTGGAGAATACTCTAGAAGATTCAATGCACAGTAAGAATACTTGAGCATATGCTGAGCCTCGTTTCAAAGAGTTTTTGTCTCAATCAAAATATAACATGGCAAAAATAGCAAGTTGATCAGTGTGCAAAGGGGGAAATGGCCTAATGGAGTATTGCCTAATATACAAAAAGCGTGTCAAAGACTAGTTTTTTGCAGCAGTACTTGCAATCAATTCTAAGGTCATATCCAAACTAGGCAGATTAAAAATGTCAAAGATAACAGTGCCATAAAAGTCCAACAGCAATTACTATTAAATACACCACAAAAACCCAAATGATCAAAATGGATTTAATAACCCAGCCAGTCAGGAAACAAAGCTTAGCCACCCTATTTTCAACAGGCATAACATCATAAAAGAAATTGCAATATAATGTCATATGCATGACAAGCAACCACTGCATAAATCTAGAGAAAAATGGCTTTGATACTACATGAAATTTGGAACCATCTAGATTTACATAATGAAACCATATAAACAACTGCAGTAAACAACACACATAGCAAAATAAGCATGTACCTTGGAAGCAAAGAATGGCAGCTCGGTCACAGTTGATTGCACGTAGGAGCATTCAACAATGTCAGGAACTCCGTTCAGACCCTTCAAGCATGCATCTCCAAAAACTGCACCAGCATACCTACAAAGGTGGAGCAAATTTATTAGCAAAACAAGTAAAAACATGGCACTAAATTGCTAGAGAAGTGGCACACAATCCTCAGTTAGCATGGTTTTTTCATCTTCTTTTTACTTACGCCATGGACAAGGTTGCAGATCCCTTTCCAGCCTTTGCCTCAACGACTTCTGTGCCACCCTCCTGTGTCCTCTTGGTGAGAGCCTTGATTTCTTCAGCAGACAATGCATTAGTTGAAGGAGTTGCCTGTTAAAAAAGAGTTTCCTTCCGTTGAGTTATTAGGGTTAGGGTGATAGCACAAATGTACACTATTCAACTACTTCACAATTACAGTAACCAGAAAGATAAACCTAGATAGACCATATTCACTTCCATAATTTTGGTAAATATGGTGTTTACATTACACTAAACTAGCTACACACTCATATGTCCAGTTGTCCACACAAATGAATTCACTAATGAGCAAGAATACTAGAATATGATTGATCTTTTGTTATAGACATGATCACTTCCCATTTCAAGTAGATGAACATTATCTGTCAAGAAAAACTTAATTTCTTTACTCAGCGTGATTTCACCATGGAAGTCCTAGCATAATACAGTGAATAAGAATCTAACAAACATACCAGTTCTGTCCCCATTTCTGGTTTTATGCGCTATAGTGTGGAATAGTTTTTACGATAGTGCTGTATCATTTATTACGTGACAGAAGTCAATACCTGTGAGAACAGTGGCAAGATGGTAATACCAGCATGACCACCAACAACAGGAACGTCCACAGCTGCCAAAGAACACTCCAGTTAAGGACAAAAATACAGCAACCATACTCTTCTTTCATTTGCTACCAGTCAGCTAGATCATATACTGTCACCACTTACTATTAACATCTACATTAGCCTTCCCAGCATAGAAAGTCCTGGCACGAACAACATCAAGAGTGGTCACACCAAACAATCTCTTCTCATCATAGGTTCCAGCCTTCTTGAAAACTTCAGCAGCAATCGGAACGGTTGAATTCACAGGGTTGCTGATCATGTTGACAAGAGCCTGCAATACAGAAACACATCAAATTCATAGAAAGATGCATACAAACAAAATGAAGTAACAAAGGAGGAACATCAGTTTTTAAATGTATCATATAACGATTTCCTAACACAACATACACTGAAAATGGATACATTATGTATTGGAGGTTGGAGCTAACAGACAGGTTAGAAAATTTGAAGGAATGGGCCATATGGCTCCTCAGTCAACAGGTTGAGGAATGGGCATAAAAATATAGAAGATATGATAATAACTGACAAGCATGTAGGACAGATGATATATATATATTCCACTGAAGAGTTATAAACATAAGAAAATGTAACTTTCAAGAGAAAACAGCGAGGCAATCCAGAGTAACAATGACTTAGTTTTCATTTGTCCAGGCTAATACACAAACATTCGAATGCAAGTAACATTGCAACAAACAAAATGAATAGACCAAGGAACCACACCATCGAACAGGAGATACAAAACTGCAAGCGCCTAAACAAGACACACGTGATAGAGCAAAGTGTTCGTGCCTATTCAGCAGATAAGTATTGGTCATAGTGGTGATAATCAAACCACACCCGTTTACAATTTCCAAACATCGAATCAGAATTACGCAATGTCCAGGTCTTGAATAGGAACTAGATAGATCTGTAACGAGACCACGCACCCAGAGTAGCCAGAACAATCAACCACGCGAGCAACAGATCTAAAATTGAAGAGAGTTGAGAATCTTACATTCGGGCAGTACTTGGCGATGGCGGTGCAGAGGTTCTTAACGATGCCGGCGTTAATGTTGAAGAGGTCGTCCCTGGTCATGCCGGGCTTCCTCGGGACGCCGGCCGGGATGATCACCAGGTCGGCCCCATCCAACGCCTCCGCGAGCTGATCATCCGCCATGAAACCCTTCACCTGCGAAAGCCCGAACCATGTGTTAGATCCGACCGAACTGAGCAGCGCGAGGAGGGCGATGTCGGGCGTGGGGTACCAGGGCAGGGGAGTTGATGTGGGAAACGTCGGCAGCGACGCCCGGGGTGGCCGCGATATCGTAGAGGGAGAGGGAGGAGACGAGGGGGTTCAGCTTCATGAGGAGAGACAGCGGCTGCCCGATGCCGCCGGCCGCGCCGAGGATGGCCACCTTCCGCGCCTGCTGCCCGGACGCGGAGGAGTAGTTGCGGCGGCGGAGGAGCTGGGCGGCGGATCTCATCACCGAGGGCCTCATCGTCGCTGGCTTGGGCGGCGCGTGAGATCTGGGTCGATGGATGTGAAGGGGGAGATGTGGACGCGGGGCGGGTGCTGATGTGTTGCTATTGTATAGACGGAGCCAGCAAAGTGGTGGATGGATGGGACGATCTAAACAATAAAGTCGTTAGCAAAAAGGGTTTGGGGGTTTCGAGATAACCATTTCTGATCCAACCTTTCCGGGATTTTCTTTCCTATGAGTATACCTTTTAAAAACTACTCCTACTAGTAGTAGTAAAAAGGATTCTAAAAAAAGAACTACAAGAAACATGCGTGTGCAATGAACCTTGTGATATTAGGTGATGTCAAAAAAAAAGGTGATGTCAAAAAAAAGAACTTATGATATTAGGGCATCTCCAACGTTGACATTCAAACCACGAGTAACCGTTCGGACCGCGCGGTCCGGACGCCTTTTGCCATTTAACGATCCTGCACCAGTCAGCAGACCGGTCCGGACGTGTTTTTTTCCCACAGAATGGAGACATGGTGGGGGGTTTTGCGGGCGTTCAGATCGATGTCACACCCGCTACTGACTACCCTGGCCTACCATAAACCTTCTATCCACGCCCACGTGCTTTCTGCCCGGCGCCAGCTGTCCACAT